CCTTTTGGAAAAGAATTAAATTTAAAACAATATTCAGGAAACATTGGCCATTGTCTGAAGAAAGAAATGGGCATTTCTAACTCTCTGGCGCCAGCAAGTGGATTGTTAATGCATTGTGCCTTTTTTTGTTTCAGAATGCACTTGGGGATAGCATGAAAGGAATTCCGTGGGGCTTGAAAGGGAATTATAGGTCAAGGAGTAGCAAAGGAGAAAGTAAGTGGTGTAAAACAGTAGAAAGTCCTTATGGTTTTGAAAAGGTGATTCCAAGTATAAGCCATCTGTGTGAAATTTCATTAAGGCGCTGGATTATGACAGGAAGCATTAGAGAAACCCAGATTTAAATCCACTGTCAGCCACAGAAACTGAGTAATTTTGGGCCACTTGCTCTCTCTCAGCCCAACTATTTCACAGGGCAGTAGCTGTTAAATTAAAAAAAGATCTCCATATTAGATCCCTTGAAGAAAGGCAAGATGTAGACCATAAAACAGGGGACAAAACTGAAAGAATATTTTGGCAGGGGGTGGGGGGGGGTGGAGATCCTCAAGAGGAAATCCCCAGGTAAAAAAAGACCAGAAAGGAGCTGATTTATAATCTTGGGTGTTCTTGGGCTCACAGCTCCTGCTGGATCAGTAGGTAGAAGCAGTGACCGTTCTAGGAATTATGCATTGTATTTATTTGCTTAATTCAATGTATAGAGTGCCTAATCGTCAAGATATTCTGTCATTTGTCCCTCTTTCGTTCTTTGGTTGAACTACTGCATCTTGCTCTGTAAGGGACTATCCTTGAAGACCATCCAGAAACTTCAGTGAAAATTTAGCTGGGTGTGTGCTGCTTGGACTGCCTGATATTGTCATATAATATCAGTATCACAAAAACAGCATTGACTGTCATTTTACTTTCAAGCACAGCTCAAGGTGGTAGTAATAAAAGTTTCGCGCTTGGCACTTGGGTATCTATGAGATTGCTACAAGTCAAATCTACAGCCCAAAATGTTTTCCAGAAAGAGTTCCTAATTACTGGCTATAGGGGTAGAAAATTCAGAAACAAATATTTCTGCTGGAGCAAGCTTTCTGTGACATTTATTATCTAATTGTTAATATTCAGAAAGTTTAAGAACTGGTTGTTTAAGTAGGTTTTCAAGTATTGAAGAATTAATGAACTGTGTTATCTAAGGATGTGTAATGAGTGTTATTCATAATTGATTGAACTTATTAATCATATTTCTACCTACCACAATCAAGATTACAGTGGTTTAGTCTATATACTTATTGCTATCATTGATGTTGAATCTGTTTGATATAGAAGTAGAGATAGAAAGATACATAATATACCTTTTGTAAAACATTTAGATCTGCTTGATTGAAGTAGCATAAAAGCTCTAGCAATAAATCAGAATTCATGGAAAGCACAAACTTTCTGGGCAGCTATGCAAACAATTTGTTGGCATACTTTGCTACAAAATTATTGGCAAGGTATTTCTTCTTAGCATCTAACCTCAGTATCCTTCAAAGGTATTGTGCCTTATCTCTTCTTCTACATTACCCTGGGTTAGACATCTGACCTCCAAGAACCGATTGACTGAATAATTGACGGCCATCAAGTTGTTTTCAACTCAATGAAAATAGAGAAATTTATCTTCAGCAACTAGTTCTTTTTGCTGTTCTTTGCCATGTACTTCCATAGCCAGCCTGGATATCCTTTTAAAAATCTCAGATTAACAAAACAAAGCTATTTCAGTCTCCCGAAAAAAAATATAGTTCTATTAATTTGCAGTGTATTTCCATAGTTGTAGAGTGGATGGTTTTCTGGCTGTGCGGTGCACCATCTATGCCAGCACTTACTAGCCAAGGAAAAATGTATGTATGATCCAAAGCATGGAGAGAAGAGAGGGAAGGGGGTATATCCATCTCACTATGCAGAGGAAACAAATGTAGGTGAAACAGTTGCAATTTCAGGGTATTTAGGGAAACTTAATTCTAAATATATGTTTACAACACTGTTCATCTTTTGAGACTTCCTGGAGCCATCCAGAAGAAGCAATGTTCTAAGAGGAAGTCTTTGGCTTTTAGAAGAGAGAAACTAGGCTCTGTAGTTTGAGAAACAAGGACCTTTGTTTTTCCTAGGGGGCAGAGCAACTAGTAGAAGGGACAATACACCATAAATGGGGCACTGACACTAAGGACACCGGGTACCTGCATTACTATAAGATATTTTTTTTAATGAGCAAACCATTTCAATTTTGAAATGGTAAAAACGTATTTCAAAATTAAATTATAAATATTTGTTAGATGCCTTACACCAAGGGTGTCAAACTCAAGGCCCAGGGGGCGGATCTGGCCCGGGGACTGCTTAGATCTGACCCACTGGGGCTGCTCTGGAAACAGCGAAGGACCGGCCCATGGTGCCTCTGCCAGCGAAAACAGAGCTTAGGAGAGCCATGGGTGGCCCTCCTGAACTCTGTTTTCATTGGCAGAGGGTTGCAGGAGGCCGTCACAGCTAAAAATGGAGCTCAGGAACCTGTTTTCATTGGGAGAATACTCAGGCCAACACAAGTGTCCCCAACACGAGTGATGTTGAGTTGGCCATGCCCACCTGACCACACCCATCCTGGTCCCTGAGGTCAAACACAATCCTGATGCGGCCCTCAATGAAATTGAGTTTCACACCCCTGCCTTACACCATTATGAAGATGACAGTTCCTGTCACATATTTGAACTAAAGTCCCAGAAAATTACCCTTTGGGCAAAGCTTCTTAACCTGAGAATTAACTTTTAAAGACTGCACTTAGGGACTTTATACCTGAAAGATAACGTTAGTAATTCAATGTAGTAAAAATTAGCTATTGCTTCCCAAAAGGCGAACTGGAGAAAATGCAAAATCAAAACAGAGATTTTGTGGTAATAATAGCCAGTTCTTCCACTGCACACAGTTATAAGGTATTATAGTTATAAGGTATATTCTGTAGAAGAGATGACAGAACTTGGGGATGGGGTTAAAAGGGGGATCAGCCTAGAATATCTACATCGACACAAGAGAACTAAGTCCAACACATAGACCCCCTTGAGTGATGTTGACCCTTATCGAAGCAGGTGCCAACAGTTAGTTGAGAAGATTTCTGTACCTATGCTTTTAGCAATTAATGAATTTGACCACTTTCTTATGCACAATGACAAATGGATCCCCCTGTAACTTTCATATTCAACATTGCCTCTGTGTATAGTGGTACTTAGGTACTCAACTGCTTTGAAACTCATTGAATTTGGTACGCAATGCATTTTGACACAAAAGTTTTGTGCCGGTACTCATTGTTTGCTGGTACTCAATGCACAAGCTAGAACTTGTTGATGTCGGCTGCCTTGTAACTCACTTATTCCATATAGGAAAAATTTGGTTGGTACTCATTGCACCTCCTGGAACCAATTAGGTACCACTGTAGAGCCAAAAATATGAGCATTCTTCCAAGTATCAGGCTTAGATGGTGTTCGACTTCCAGAAGCAGAGAGAGGAACCTGCCCCACTCTACATCAAGGGGGGGCTGTGTGGAGAGGGTCTCCTTTCAAATTTCTGGGAGTCCACCTTAGCCAAGATCTCACCTGGAAAAATAACCCGATCCAGGTGGTCAAGAAGGCTCAACTCACTCCTTAGAGTGTTGCGGAAATATCAGGTGGAACAACGAAAAGGTCTACGATAGAAAGCATCATTACACAGTATGGTATGCTGGCTTGACAACCATGGACAAAAAGGCATTACAGAGGGTGATCAGTACAGCGTAAAAAATTATGGGCTGTCCCGACAGCAGTGGACGAAATCACCAGGACCCACTGCCTCAGCAGAGTGAGGAAAATCGTCAGGGATGATTCACACCCTGGCCAGCACTTCTTTACTCTCCTACCGTCGGGCAGGAAATATAGAAGCATAGCCAGCCTAACAAATAGGCTGAAAAATAACTTTTATCATGGGCTGTCAGACTTCTGAACGTAACATAACACAATTAGATTTAATATGATAGACTTGAAGGACCAGCACCAAGGAGGCTCATTTCAATTTCATTGTACATATGTTGTGCACTGACAATAACCATTTGCTTGATACAGTCAGTATATTTTCTTCATTCCACTCTGCAGCATATCTCTCTCATTTCCATACAAATACAATGATCCACTCCTCACAACATTATTTTTTTATCCAAAGTAGATTGTTTTTTCTTATCACAGTTGCAGCTTATCGCACTTTCCAGTAATATTATACATTTACCAAGTTATGCTATCCAAGCGAAAGATGCCAGATCTGTTAAACAAAATAATGCCCATGACCATGACTGGGAGAAAATTCTAATGTTTTCACAAGAAACCTTTCATAGTTCAGGTTGTTTAACATTTTTATGAACTGGAAACATCAGAGATTGAAACTGGGATCTTCTGTATACAGAGCATGACTTCCATGAATGTAATCCTTACCAAAATCAGCTGGCTACACTCCCTCGTGTGTGATCTATACCAAATTTATCTAAAGTAGATTTTTAAAATTTAAAAGTCATTGTATAAAATAATCAGGGGTTTAAGCCAAGGTGCTCAGCTGACAAGAAGTATCTCAGTTGAACGTTTATGGAGATTCTCAATCATCCAGGTCATGGTTGTCCCAAAGGTGCTTTTTCAAAAAGCACCTTGAAAAAGCAGCTTTGGGATGAACAGACATATCCATCCGTGGGCAATATTTTTTTAAAAAAAATATCCTAAATAGCTTTCCTGCCATTCAAATATTAAGGAAACAACAGTTTTATCAGAAGCACAGTAAAACCAATCCTAAACTGTTCAGTACCTCAATCAATCAATCAGTAGGAAATTTCCATCACCTTTTTTAAAATTGGTCAGATGCAGAAAGAAGGTACGACCTGAAGTGAAGGCCATACTGTCATCATCCAAAGTTAATGCATAAATTAAGTTTCAGCATTAAACAGCCAAGAGATTGTTGTCACGTGATCCTACCAGTTGCCACAAGACAGAGAATGGTCCCTTTCTTCAATTAGATCCAAGTTTCTCAGGATCTCCAATTTTTTTTTTGACTCCCTTCTCAGGGAAACCACTGTTACTGTAGCATAGTCCAACATTTGCAGTTACCAACTAGACTCAACCTACATGAACTTGACAAACGTCTTCTGATTTTGAGGAACCTCCCATGGTCAGAAATCCTGGTGTTTGATGGGCCCCCAAATCATCTGTCTTTTCAGGCACCCATGAATTAGCACCAACAAAATGAGAAGCAGATGGGAATCCTGCTGATGAGTGGGAATGGTTCTGGATGCACATAGCACCAGCAGTATGATGCGGTGTGGGATTCTGAGAGCATGGTGGTCCAGATGCTAGAATTTGTGTGTTAAGATGCTGCATATGCATGGCAAGCAACGGAGGAGGGGGGCTGTGATAGTTCTGAGTGGGATAAGAACCTGGCACTGGATTTAACCTGAAAGAAAAAGAAGAGAGATGTGTTAATAGACTAAATGCACGAGGAACACATGCGAAGTGACCCAGTCAGCTAATTATTACGGAGGCAGGAGTTACACAGATCCCATGGGAATTATATATTTTTATTTGTTCATTGTTATCCTATCTTTTAATAAATAACTCAAGATGACAAACATATCTAATAATCCCACCTCCTATTTTCCCACCAACAATCCTGTGAGATCAATTTCAGCAGTTTCAGCCTAATATGTAAAGAACAATTGTTGCATTAATCGGGGTACTTTTTCTTAAAGTTCATGTGTTCCTATTCTGGAAACAAATTGAGAAGTGAATATTCAACTGGACCTGGAGAACTGAAGGAAAGCCTATTTATCCTCCAGGGAGAAAGGAAAGTATCAACTGCTCTTCACACAAGAAAGCTATCAAAGTCAACCTAACCACTTAAGTGTCAATTTATGGCTTATGTAATTCCTGTACTTGAAAACTTAGTCTCCTTCTTTGCCCCCAATGATATTTATTAACAGGTATTAATAAATTAATGACATGAAAGCAGCAGACAGGGAACAAGCCTTCATGATAAAGGCACAGGCATAAATCAAGCTACTTTCTGAAATTCAGATAAACTGTTATATAGCTTTTTTTCTTTCCAAAGCTTTTAACATTATTAGTGTGTTCTTGCATAGCATTGCCTCTTATGATTTTACTTCATTTGGGCAAAAAAAAAAAAACTTGCCATTCAAAATAACATATTCCTGTAATATTTATAAATAATTCTGTATTCCTGTTGTATATCACTTATACTATATAAAGCAATCATCCTAAACTAAAAAAACTTATTATAGTTGACCACATTTTTTTCTAGTCCCATATGATATTGACATTAACATTCCTAGCCTGAATTTCCATAGGTAACATTTCCACTACAGGTAGTCCTCGATTTACAGCAGTTTGCTTAGTGATCATTTGAAGTTACAATGGCACTGGAAAAGTGACTTACTACCATTTTTCACACTTATTACCGTTGCGGCATCCCCATGATCATGTGATTTGCAGTATCCCCAGGATCATGTGATCACTTTTTGCAACCTCCTGACAAACAGTCAATGGAGAAATCAGATTCACTTAAAAGTGTTACTAATTTAACAACTGCAGTGATTCACTTAACAAATCTGGCAAGAAAAGTCGTAAATTGGGGCAAAATTCACTTAACAAATTTCTCACTAAGCAACATAAATTTTGGGCTCAATTGTGGTTGTGAGTTGAGGACTACCTGTATCTACTGTAGTTTAGCTACAGGAAAACTAAAATTACAGCTACTACTAGCCGTGATACTTTTCTTTAAAGATCATTAATGTTCAATAAGCTACACCATTTTTCCACCTTTCTGAAATTTTATGCACAGTACCTAGACCCATACCTTTAGTAGAAGTTATTTCTTTGTAATTCTTAGACACATAACACAAATTTACAGAACAAAGCTTTGTATCTAAGAGGAAAACATATGTCAAAACTATGTGCTAAAATTAAAACTGCCAATATTTAACATTAACACCTTCGACAGAATGTATCTTTATCTCAGATATACATCTTTTAAATAGTGAGGCTATAATTCTTATTTACAAGCTCGCATGAAAGATAATACTGATTTAAATGTAGAATTAAAAACAGAATTATTTTTGAGGTGCATCAATTAACCAAGCCATCAAATTTTAAATTCTGTGAAGATACGAAAACTTTGAGAAATACTTTGAGAATACTGTTATCAGCAGAAACTTAAATAACAAGCATTACGATGTGGCTTGCAGACTTACCTTTGGTTCTGGAAAGCCCTTCTTTCTGCCAGGGATCCTGGAACATATTTTACCCCAGGAATTCTTTTCAACAGCCTGAAAGGGAACTTCTGATCTAAACAAGAGGCTGTTGATTCAGAGAAATCCAAAGCAAAGCAGTAACCATAACCATCTAAAATTCAACAGTTAAGGAGAGCCAGAAAAAGGATATGACAGAAGGCATTTTTAAGCCTGGTCTTCTGAATTTTCCCCAGATCACTTTTAAAATGTTCAGAAACCTCAATGGAGGCTCTGAGAGTTCCAATGAGCACAGAACACCAATATTACATTTTCTTTGCCTCCCTGCATATTTTTGAACTGCACTAACAAGAAAGGAAGGACTCAAGAATGCAAAGTGGATGACATCCCACTTACTCTTAATGTAATTTGCTACCTTTGCAATTTTGAGTAGGGGCAATCTACTTAGTCCATTCAAGCAATAAACAGTCTTGCTATATCTGGAAAACCCTCAAATGGAAAACATTGTTGATGGGCTATTTTACTAAACCATTAAAGAAAACAAGCTTCAAGTGTATCTATGCCATTTATAATGCAGATGCTTATCTAGCCTAAAATGTGTTACAAGTATTCTTTAGATATGGAAGATGCAACTTTTTAAGTTAAAGGGATAGGTTATGCAATTCATTATAAAAAGATACATATATTCCCAATTAAGAGGCCACACAGGTTTGCTAGGAAAGAACAACTTGGGATAATCCAGGCCATGCAAAGCAACAACCAGGGCACAAATGTCATTTGGAAGTTCACTCCAAAGAGTACTGTTCTCTTCATCCGAGAGCGAGCAATTGATGCAGCCAGCATGGCAAAAGCCACAGGAGTGAATCCTCCAGCATCCGTCATGTTCAACAGGCTGGATGCCATAGTCCTGAGTACAAGGTAGAGTAGAGCTAAGGAAATTGCAAATGCCAGAGTGAGGAAGGAGTGCTTCACGGTCCCCACCATCTTCTCAAAGCTGCCAGCAAAGTACCAGATGATAACAGCACTGCATACCAAGGAGATCACATCCTCATAAACAAAGATGTAGGTCACCAACCTATAAACTGTGCAAAAAGAGCCAAGTTGGCAAATAAATGACAGACAACTATGAAATAATTCCAAATCTATTCATAATTTTGGGAGAATGGTGCCAACTTCAAAGACAAGCTGAATTGAAAGGCTGAGATAGGATTAAAGCAGGGAGGAGAGCTGCATTAAATCAAAAGTCCAGAATCAAAAGAGTGTGTTGGGCTTAGTAAGACACTTTAAGTATTTTTTTATCTAACTTACATAGCACCATCTCACCAAAAACTACTCTGGGCAGTGTAGAACAAGCTAAAACAGTTTATAAATATGTAAAACTACTTACCAGTTAATTATAAAAACATTTTTAAAACTCTAAAAATAAACCAAACAAGAAATAACAGATGGAGGGATGTCAGTAATAGAATTCTAATATTAACAGAGTTCACTCAGCTCCTGGGGCCCCTAGGCTTTCTGACATTACTTGATCTTTTATTTACAAAGCCTGCATTACTATTACTGTTAATCTTCTCATCACTCCTTATTACCCATCCCCTCCCACTTGTGACTGTATGACTGTAACTTTGTTGCTTGTATCCTTACGATTTATATTGTTTCCTAATATGATTTGATTGCTTATTATACCCTGACTATTAATAAGTGTTGTACCTTATGATTCTTGACTCTTGACGAATGTATCTTTTCTTTTATGTACACTGAGAGCATTTGCACCAAGACAAATTCCTTGTGTGTCCAATCACACTTGGCCAATAAAGAATTCATTTCAAATCAAATCAAATCCTATTCGATTCTCAAAAACTGAGAATCAAACTCACTTCAGGTAGGAAAAGATGCCATAATGTGGGTGCCACCATAGAAAAGGCCCACTGCCTAGGGTCTCCTTAACACTATAAAGTATACCTTACAAGGCTTGAGATCTGGCCATTTTCTAACTGAACATGCCTGGTTTTGCAAGATTGGAGAAAGAAGACACAGACAAATTAGTTTGGTCAGCCTGAAAAAACACAACTTTTTTTGTTTTTCTGGAATTTTTAATATGTGACAAAATTAGAGTACTCTGTGATATTTCTATTTTTTCCCCTAAAATTTTATATTCAGTAGATTGCCTATTGCTTACAACAGCATTCCAATTTATTTAGCAAATGTATGCACTACCTATTCTTTTAACAATTTAGGGTGTCTCATAAAGATGCATGCAGTTATTTATAAACAGAAAAAGGCAACAAAAATCAGTAAATGTGCTTTAATATTGTTTGTTTCCTGCATTTCAGCACACATGTCAAATCACTGGGAAAAATAATCTGAAGTATGTTTCCGTCAATCAATAACATGCAGCTTTATCTGGTAAGTTCTTTAGGTTCAAAACCAATGCACGAATAGAGGAGATAAGAGCTTAAAAACCTGAACTTAGCAAATCTAAGCAAATATCAATAGCATGTTTTTTGGGGGCGTGGAGGGAGGAGCTTTCTGTCCTATTTCAAAATATTGGGAGCCTAACATTTTACAGATTGCCTGCAAATAATCCAGACCTACCTTCCATTCGCTCCTGCTTTGCCAATCCTCAAGAAGCCTAAACTCAAAATGTAACAGAGAAAGAACTCTGCTTTTAAAAGTTCCTCAGGAAGGAAGCGGCCTAGATGAATTGTATTCACCCTCAGAAAGAAGCAAGAAAAGACTATGGAAAATAACGATGAGGATGGTCTAGCAGAGGTTAAGAGAAAGGGCCAGACTGTCTTCCATGGAAGCCTTAAAGAAATCAGTCTTGGCTAAGAATTTTTTTTTAATTATTTATTTATAAAAATTAATAGGCCGCCCCATCTTACCTCAAGGTAACTCTGGTTAGTTTAAATGCTTAACTTAAATAAACGCTGAAAAACAATAGAATGACTGAATGTAACCGCCCCAGGACCTCCTTAAGTCCTTTCCAACAAAAACCAGGTAGCGGTCATCCATGAAGAACAGAGCCTTCAAGTCGACTTTATCATAAGTGCTATGGTAGCCTGCTCCTTCCCATGGAGGATCCATCTCGTTTGGCTTTCATTCTCCCCCTCGCTCCACCGGGGGGGGGGGGAGGAAAGGAGGATCATCCCTCGAGCTCACCCTGCCCTTCCTGCACCGCCGCCGGCCGCAGCAAAAACGCCGACAGGAAGTCGTCGGGCAAGCCGTTACCCCTGCTCCGCTGCAGCAGGCCCGGCCCGGAGACCAGCAACGAAAGCAAAATCGTGAGGCAAGTTGCCACGGGAAACCTTTCCATGCTTTCCAGCCTTCACCTTACACACACCCGACTTCCAAATCGTCCCGGTTACTAAGCGTCCCCATATTCTGCTTCCGGGTTAGGTCACGATTAATATAGTTAAGAACTCTAGCAGACAGGAAGTCCCGCCTTCCCGCTTGGGCAGGTGAGGCCCAAATATTCTCCTACTGTCCTGCCCCGAAAAGCAAAGTCGTTCTCCGTTGCTGTGGTAACCGAACACTATGGATAATCCCCAGCCCTGAAACGTGCTTTCAAATAACAACCGCTGCGGAAAGGAGGCGGAGCCAACTAAGGCTCCGAAGCACTGATAGGGCGGCTGCAGTGGTCCCGCCCATTTCTGCTGTGTTCAATCTGTGAGCGGGGTTCCGTATTTACAACTGTTCATTCTGCCACGAAGAAGAGGAAGTCGAGCTATTCTCCAAAGCAGGACAGGAAGCAATGGATGGAAACTAATAATATGTAGTGAATTATAAAGTTTGTTAACTGTAGCCTCTTTTTGTCATGACACCAATATGAAAATGGTTTTTTTATTGCCTTTTCTGGGATTTTGGATTTTTATTTCCCAGATTGGGGTGAGATGTTTTGGCTGTCTTCTGTTAAAGTGTTCATTCACTACATCCAGAGTTGGTTAGATGGAAATTAGGCTACATGCTTGGCACAACTGCTTATATTCCCATATATTGCTTTGAGATTATAGATCAAAATAAATTCAGATAAAGACTGAATGTACCAATTATCACATCAAACGAGGAAAACCTTCTACGCACCAATTCCACCCGTGCTTTTTACAATTTTATAAACAACTAAAAGACTCAAGGTCCACCCCACCCCTGAAAGGACCTAATGGTAAAGACTGCAACAATGACACCATTAAAGCCAACATCTTTAATACATGCTTTGGCTCAGTATTTGTAAACAGCAATGGATCATGCCCAGTATTTCCTAGCCAAACCACAGACAACTACAATGATCTAATACATATCGATTTTACAGAAGACAATGTTGAAAAAGCATTACACAATCTAAAACCATCTCTATCTATTGGACCAGATGGAATATGTGCCTACTTCTTAAAAAAGCTATCTACTGCTATAGCCGAACCTCTAAGCATAATCTTTGAAAAATCTTTCAGGACCAGCTCCTTGCCTAACCTATAGGCCACAAGCCACAGTCATCCCCATCTTCAAAAAGGGAGATCCCAGGCTAGTTGAAATTACAGACCAATTTCCTTATGCTGCGTCACCTGTAAAGTTATGGAATCAATTATTAACCAATCCATTATCCTCCACTTAGAGACAAACAACCTACTCTCTAATAAACAATTTGGTTTCAGAAAAAAACTATCTTGTAATCTGCAACTCTTACACTGCAAAAACATGGACTACACAATTTGATCAGGCCAAACAATAGACGCAATCTACATAGACTTCTGTAAAGCCTTTGATTCAGTGGTACACGAAAAACTACTAAAACTAACATCTTATCATCTCTGGACACCTGCATAACTGGATAGAAGCATTCCTGTCAAACAAGACAACAAATGGTCAAAATTGGGAGTGTCCTATCAAATTCTGTACCTGTCAATAGTGGTGTCCCCCAAGGCAGTGTTCTAGGACCAACTCTCTTCATACTCAACATAAATGACCTCTGTGATCACATAAAGAGCAACTGAGTTCTCTTCACAGATGATATAAAGCTGTTCAATACCACAGACAACACTGCTACCCTTCAGAAAGATCTTGACTATGTATCAGAATGGTCAAACAAATGGCAACTTCACATCTCAACAAATAAATGCTCTGTCTTACATATTGGCAAAACAATCAGAAAATAAAATACAAGCTGAATAGTCAAGACCTTGTTGATGATCTAAGCTCTGTAAAGGACCTTGGAATACTCCTCTCTAATGATCTAAGTGCTTGAGCCCATTGTAACTACATAGTCAAAAAGGCATCAAGAGTTGTTAACCTAATCCTATGTAGTTTTTTCTCTGGTAATATTACACTACTAACTAGAGCATACAAAACATTTGCTAGACCAATACTCAAATACAGCTCATCAATCTGGAACCCACATTACGTATCTGATATTAGCACAGTTGAGAAAGTCCAGAAATATTTCACAAGAAGAGTTCTCCACTCCTCTACTCGTTGTAGAATACCTTATGCCACCAGACTTGAAATTCTAGACCTAGAAAACCTTGAATTACGCCGTCTTTGGTCTGATCTAAGTGTGGTATATAAAATCATACATTGCAATGACTTATCTGTCAATCAATACTTCAGCTTCAACCATAACAACACAAGAGCACACAATAGATACAAACTCAAGGTTAACCGCACCAAACTTGATTGCAGGAAACACGACTTCAGCAACAGAGTGGTCAATGTCTGGAATACTCTACCTGACTCTGTGGTTTCTTCCCCAAACCCCAAAAACTTTAACCTTAGACTGTCTACTATTGACCTCACCCCTTTCCTAAGAGGTCTGTAGAGGGTGTGCATAAGTGCACCAATGTGCCTACCATCCCTGTCCTATTGTTTCTTTTATTTTTCTTATATGTATCCATGTATTAATAACTATGTATATACTTATACCTATTATCTTGTAAGCGATTGACAAATCAAATGAAATAAATAAAAATAAAAATACATAAATTATAACAATGATATTTTAAACCTCTTTCCCTTGCTTAACTGAGGTTTGTTTGCTTATGTGCCTTCAAGTTAGTCTTAACTCCTGACAACTACTGAAGTCACTGAAATTTTATTGTCATTATTTTTCAAAAGTTGTTTGCCATTTCTTCATTCCTAGGGCAGAGAGAGTGTGACTGGCCCAAGATCACCCAAGTGGCTTCGGGCCTAAAGCAGAATTAGAACACAGTCTCCTGGTTTATAGTCTAGTGTCATAAGTACTACACCAAACTGGCTCTCTTAATCTGTTTGCCAAGTGTACTTCAAAAAACAATCTGAAGCTTCTGTTTGAGTGGGCCTTATGAAAGGCAGAAATCCTATCTGAATTAAAATTCTATAATTCTGTGATCTGTATTTGAGCTGGCTGGAAAGAAGTACCAGATAGATTCACAAATTGATCAAATTGTTGAGATTTGCTTGACTCTGACTTAGTGTATTGGTGAATAAATCTGGTGTACAAATAATTAAATATCATGATTTAATGTTATATGTGAGCAAAATATATCTTAAACCTTGGGCTTAAAATAATTTATTGGTTGTGTATAGGGCAGGCAGGTTGTAGCTGCATATACATCTAAGCAGGGACAAAACTTCCCAATGATTTTCAGCTTTTCTAAGAGCTATTGGATATAAAAATATAATTCTCCAGAAGTGGCATCAACTATGGCTATTCAGTCTCTTGAACTGTATCAAATATGTTGGAAATGTTAAATTTTTTAAAAATGCTCAAAAACAGCAATAGACATAAAATTATTTACAGAATGACCTGTAGACATTTATATTGTTAAACTATGCAGCAGTTATACTTACAAATTATGTTTTAACAGTTTTCTACATGATATGAAAACTGCAACAATAGCTTTAATAGACTAGATATTACAAATTAGGAAAAGCATTCACAACAGAAGACTTTAAGGGCAGGTGCTCATCTTCATTTCTTTGCGAGGGAGCCAGAGTTCTCTGAAGAGATTTTCATGGTCATGTGGCCAGTATATATATGCCGAGGTGCTCAGAACACTGTTACCTTCCCACCAAAGTGGTACCTATTTATCTACTCGCATGCTGTCAAACTGTTAGGTGGCCAGCTGGGCAAAGATAGGAGCTCACTCCATTGTGCAGCACTTGGGTCTGAGTGTAGAAACTGGGTTGACTTAGTAGGTAATTATAAATGTCTAATTGGATTCTGGCCTTGCACAAGAATTAGTTTCAGACAGGGAACAAAAACAGCACTTGGAGACTATCTGGGAAGCCATTTCATTTCCCCAAATGTCTTGTAATTACTAGAAAAGAGAATCATCCATGCAGTTGACTTATATTCTTAAAGTTCTTCAGAGTGTTTGAGGATAATTTTACATCCCAGCTGTTTATAAGGCAGCAAAGGACAGCAAAATAGGCCCTGGCCCTATATTTTTCAGCATCTGTTTGATATGTAGAATTTCAGAAGAAAACCTCAACCTAGTTTTCTTTCAAGGCACTAAAACTAAATCAGAGGTTTTTGTTTTTTTTAAAGATATTGGCACAACAGAATAAGCTTTTCTCCCTAGAATCCACCGAAAAGTTGCATTACTGTATGCATAAAATAAAGTGACTACTTGAGAAACAAATTTGTTCATCTTGCTTTACCAGGTAAGTATCCCTGCCAGATGGACTGGACGGTCATTTTGGTTGCACGAAACCACAATGTATTTCCATCTGCTCTCTTCTGCCTTGTACTTGCAATCTTTTCCATATTCCTGAGAAAGTCTGCAACTTGTCACACGAAATTTCATGCTACTCTTCTTATATTCCAGATTTTGGATCACATATGGTTTCCCTGACACACAGGTTTGATCAATAAGCTTCTCGGGGGCATGGATGAATGTGTTGAGCCGTTTGCATCCACTCCTAGTCAAAGCAATCCTTCTATTTTTCATCTCACTGTTGCATCTGTTGTGGTCTATGTTATCCAGAAATGTCATGTGTTTCCTTTGAAACACTTGTGGGTTCTGAGACCGAGAAATATCGATAACAGAGATAGAGGTAAAGAACAGAATCATCATAGATACTCCATGTGAAGCCATTTTCTTTGGCTGGACCTAAAGTTTAAAAAAAAAAACAGATTACCTACTTATTCCCATTTTCCAGAGAGTTATAATTTAAAATTCCATAAATTTGCAGGAGAACTCACAGGAAGGAATTACATTTCATACTAAGCTTTACTGAAGTTCACACTATATATTAAATTACTTTAATATGAAGATACATATCACATATAATTCTTTAACTTCAGAAGTGGCTCTTTGGTTCTGCATACACTCTTGTTCAAATTTAGAACTTACCACTATTCAGCATTTGAATTAAATTTACATTAAATTGAAAAAGTAAGAAATAATACACA